GTCCGTCCATCGCCGTTGTCTGACATCGCTCTTTGCGGTGAGCGCCGGCTTTGGAGGAATAACTCTAATACTAAAAGTCTAACTAAATGTTTGAAGGCATGCGGCGCGAGGACTGACTGGCACGAGCATAACATGCCGCTCGAAGATATGCAATATATTGTAATGGCTGCGCATGGAATTGTTTGCATGGCCATGTTGCATGATGATAATTGTTTTGGGGGGTTCAAATCCTCAAATGTGTCAAATGCCAAGCCCGACGAAATCTTTGCATGACTATTTTATTGCTTATTGTTTTGGGGGTCAAATCTCAAATCCCGTTGGGATTTGGCCCAGATTTGCTTGGGAATTCACGAGGTCAAATTCCGAAATTCCGGCCCCGTGAGGGGCCTCCAAGTGGAGGCGTACCGAAACTCCCGAAAACAGAAATAGGGTTCCCGCTTGCAGAGATAGGAAAAATCTCAATCTTCTAACGCGGCCCTGTAACCGAATTTAGATGGGCAAGACAGAAATGGATCCATTCCCGAAACCAGAAATACTCATTTTGCCGATGTCTGATGTCTGCAGGCTGCCCAATACGGTTATGCCGCAAAAACCGTTAGCCGGATGCAGATCGTGACTGCTTCGCTTGTCACCGGCGGCACGTATTAGCTTAATCCCACTTGCCCTAACCATAGCAAGGCCCTGGCTGTCATGAAGACTGAGCTGTGGCGTAGGTACCTTGGATATGGCGGGCTAGGCAGCTCGCAAGCAGGGTTATCTACCGGTGACGGCAAAGCATGTCAAGGAGGCTGCGCCTGTGCAACGTCCTTGACCTGCTTTGAGGATCCGCTGTTCTCATTACCGCAGTAACCACATTTGACGCCAGGGGCAGCCGCAGCCGCAGTCGCAGACACGCTAAACGCCCCAGTGTACACGGCCTTTCCGGATGACTTATAAAAACGCGCCTTGTTTACCGCAGTTAGAACGCTTCCCCTGCTGCGGCCTGAGAACAGGGCGGCGGCGACGGACTCCGTATCGCACTGGTGGATGCGATTGTTACAGTGGACCGCACTGGTGGACTCAATCGGCCGCCGACTTATTCCCGAGACAGTTAGGAGACGTTGTACGAGCACTACAAACTTACATTTGTCACTTCAACAATAGGTAACTGTTTGTAGCTCGATGCTAATCAAAGGGATCAGTTCAATGTTTTAGTTAATAAATACCTTGATAACCGTTGATGCAGGCGCCAGAGCTACGAGAAGCCGCTGATTGCATCTTGAGAGGTGCACGGCTTTTGATTTGCGCCTGGAACTGAATATGTTATCAACAGCACGCAATTGTTGCCTATCTCTGGCAGAACGGTTGTCGTGCTGGCGATTATTCCATCCATCTGCACAGTTAACGCCAGGGCTGAGCATGGCATGGTCCAGCTACAGCTGACCGCTGCATACACCGGAGCAACAAACAAGCACATATAATTCTGCCATAGTTACACAGGAGCTGCTTGGCAATCTCACTTGATAGTCATGCAAGATGCGGATGCTTTGGAAGCTGAAAGAGCTGCGAAGATGCAATCCACGTTGCGACTTAACCTTGGTATTAAGGATGGATCTGCTAATGTCTACTGGAAACATGATGGTACGCAGTCCATCGCCCTCTGCAAATCTGAAACCCAGTCCAAAGCGCGGATGGAATTTTATGCAACTGCACAGGGGAAAGATTTACAATAAAATCAAAGGGCGCCCGTAAACCAGGCGACTGGAGATGTTTGTGCAGCGGCAGCACCGTGAAGTTATGCAGCGGCAGCACCTACCAGCTTACCCTCACAACCAGCCGCCCAGCCAAGATCCGACCCAGCTCGGGGCGCTGGGATGTAAAGGAGGTGCGCCGGCCAGCAACCCTCTCAACACAAGAGATTTATCTCCCCGTCCGCAAATAAGGACCAACCCCTCATTCAGTGCCCCCTCCTCGCTAGCCGAAGGGCGAGCCAGGATTAGCAACACAAAACAGCCATTCAAAGCACGTGCGCCGCTGCCCCTTCCCCAGTCAACCAAACCACTAGGCGTCGCCTCCTCCTCCCCCGCTGCATCTATAGCTGGCCCTGTGAGCTTGTGAGAGGCCAGCTGTAGCGGCCCTTGCTCTCCGGTGGTCCCTGCCTGCCTCCCTCCTTCCCTGCCTCTCTTTCGACACGGCCTTGCGTCCTCCATGCCCCCTACGGTGCTGTACGACACTTCAACACGGTGCTGACGCAGATAGCCGCCGATGGCCGGGAGGTGCAGCCTCAGTTCCAAGTCTTACCGCCGCCGTCCTACTCCCAGCTACAGTCGCATCCGCTGCCGCCAACGGCGCCGCTACAATCTGCATCACCTTCCCAGTTCCAAACGTTGCCATATCCACAGCCACAGCCGCAGCTCCCTGTGCCTTTGCCGCACGACTGGCCAGCGCCGGCTGCGGCGGGCAGCGGTGGCGACCTGAGCGCCACTGACCCACGGGTCATAAGATGGGTAGACGTGACGATGGACGCGAGCCGCACCACCTATACTGCGGCGCTGCCGTGCAGCTTGCCGCCTACAGAGGCGGGGCGGCGGCAGTACCTGCTGATTGAGGTCTACGTGGAGGTACGTGTGCCGTACGCGGTACGCAAGGTGGGGAAGCATAGCATGATGGCTGATTAACAACATCAACAAATGGCGGCAGACCTTACTCGTGAGTACATCCAACCCCCGGGGGAATCCGAGCACACGACCCTCACGCCCTCAATCCGGGGGAAAGCAGACGGGCGCCTACCCCGGCAGGCTCTGCTGCTGATGAACCGTTTCACGGATGCCCCGAGGGCTATGTCGGCCGCCTCCCACCACTAAGAAAGAGGCCACGAGGCCCCCATGTGCAGCGGGATAAGGGGCATTGGTCGTCGACGCGCTGCGCTTCCTGGTATTTTGTGTGGCACAGCGCAGCCACAGTGCTCCCCGCCCCACGTCCCTGATCCCATAGTTCGAGCTCCACTCGTCAATATCCGGCTTTACTTCCTCAACCATGTCGCCCCCTGCTGGTCCCGTCTCCCCCGCGCTCCCCCGCTCAGGATTTCGGGCTGGTGGTGTGTCCCCTGCAGGTCAAGGTAGGAGGCAGGGGCACCAGGCAGCAGGCCGCTGGTACCAGGGGCACCAGGCAGGGGCAAACTAAAGTTCCCCTTTAGGGGATGACGCACCAGGAGGACAGGGGCACCAGGAGGACAGGGGCACCAGGAGGACAGGGGCACCAGGCACGGACAGACACGTCCAGTTTCAGGGCCAGGCTCACGGGTGGGCGCGAGTATAGGCGGGTATAGACAGCGGCAGGGATCATCGCAATGGTCCAAGGCCAGGGAAGGTAAGAGGGCCAGAAATCAGCATGCCGAGTGTACCCACTGCATCAGTATCCACGAGGCCCTCTCAGGCAACGCAGCCTCTGTCCCCTTTTGCTTTTTGTAAGCGAGAGGGATTTCCTGCGAAGAACGGATGGCTGGGCGGGAAAGTAGTCGCGTGTAGAGCGCCGGAGTTGACCTCGGCTAGGCTCGAATCGAACAGCCGCCGCCGCTAGGACTTGATATTCATATTCACTGGCCCCTGCACCCCTGCATGCGCTCCTGATTGGGGGCACAGGTGTACAAGCCCAAGGACAAGAACGCGTTATCAAGTGGGTTTGTTTCAGGCAACCTCTCAGCCGGTAGTTAATATTTTTCAGTTTGCGATGTGTTTTCGGTATTTATTATCTGAATATATTATGAACTTGAACATTTCAGGATTTGAAATGTTTCAGGTCTCCTCGGGGTCTTGGTGTCTCCTCCTTTGCGCGCCTAACGGGTCTTTTTCATCTTCAAAGGCGTTTCAGAGACGGTTGGTACGGCGGCGGTTGTGGCCTACTACTACCAGGGCTCACCTCAATTGTATAAGACACCAACGCATACCACGTTGCCCTGATTCTGCCGCTCCTCTTGCTGGCTGGAGGAGCTCCCCTAGTTGCTACACACACCAGGATGGCAGCGGGGCACTAAAACACTGATAGCCCCCCGTTCCCCCCAGCGCCCTGACCCACTCACAGTCCCATCATGTTGCCCCCTCTCCCTCCGGCTCCCCGCGGGCGCATTCCGGTTTCCGGCCGGTGCCTGTCCCTTCAGGCTTTCCGCTGCGGTTTGTACAGTTCGATTTCCGGGAGGATTCGTCCTCCGTTGGAGATCTCTTTGCGGTCAACTTTTACCGGTACTGAGAAAACGTGTTTGGTTGGGCGCAGATTGGAAATTGGTTGGAGCGGTTAGCTCTTGGGCATCCGATAGTGGCATGGATATACGAAATGGATAAATGAAAGAATGAATGAGTGAGTGAATGAGTGAATGAACGGACCAGTGGTTGCCTCGGGGGCCAAAACTAGGTGTTGGGTATATGGCTCGCGGGCTATCCTTCTTTTGCATAATACTACGACATTCAGGACGGACCCATGGGACCGGGTTTTGTAATGTGATCCGCATTGCCGTTAAAGGTAATCACTGAGACCTACTCGATACGTGTGGTTACTCATTTTTAGCTGTGGATGAAACGTGATAGGGCTTACGTTGCTCGGTGAGGGAGCCCACCGTAGAGTGAGCAGGCCGATTTGGCGCAATTGAAGTATGCCTTATTCAGACTCGCTTTCGCTTGGGCTCCGGATTTACTCCTTAACCTCCTAGCCACTTCCACTTGATTTAAAAAGCACTTGCTGCCGATGTACCCTCAAGCGGGTTATTACCGCTTGGGGCGAGGTTGTAGGGTGTGAGTCAACCCAGGCACAATTCGTTTCCTCAGGTGCCCTCTCATCGGAAGGAAGGACAGCTGTCCAGTGGTTCACGGAAGGCATTCTGTGAACCACTAGACACCTGTCCAAGGCCCTCAGGTGCCCAGGGCATCAGAGGAGTTAAGAGCCCGCACTTGGAGGGTAGCGCTTATCGATTGCTTGAAGTGCAGCCCCCTGCTCAGGCTCCCACTCGCTCCGCTTTCATGTCCTCAATCAACGCGCTCCTCTGCATTTTGAGCTCCCGATAGTTTGGGGTCACCGTCACCGCTTCTGCGCATGAAACGTCGGCAAATGCACTGTCCGCGGGCCAGTGCGGTCTCTAGGCGTGGCGTCCTGGGAAGCCATGAATGCGGCCTAACAAGCATGGCCTTGGGTCAGCATTCGTACGCACATCATGATAGAAGCTTGGGGAAATACGAGGGTTAGGGAAAACACGATAGTAGAAACACTGTAGGCCAAGTAAGCACTTAAAGCTGCACAGCCATAGTGTGCGAATAATATATTCAAAAGAATTCATGGCATGGATTCGTGCGCAGAATGGGATGAAACAGTAAATTCTAGCTTCTTGTTCACGGCTTGACCTAATCCTTTTGGCCGCTTGGGTCGTTATTAGTCGTTAGTGTTGTCAAACCGTCACCGACCGTACGAGTTTGGCCGATTTCACGTTCATCCAAGTTTCCAAAAGTAAATGCCGTTATCTAGATCAATAGGGTATCCTGTGCACCATATCTGTATACCCAGAATGTCAAATCTGTGGCAACGCTTGACTGCATTTTAAGCAAACGTTTTCTATCGGTGATATCAACTAGAATATGTTGCTCAAATTATTTAGGATATTGTTATATAGATGCAAGGCCTAAAGTTCCAGCTTCAAGGATAGGCTTCTCTAAGAAGGCCCGGTCAGCCGGGCAGCGTGGGACAAATGGCAACCCTTACATATACAGTCTTCTCTCTTGGTGAAGCCCAGCTTCATCAGCTACATACTGGCAATGGCAAGGTACTCAATTTTCACGTTCGTGCAGTTTTGCGGAAGCCGATGAAGCTCGTTTCAATAAGCGCTGATGTGGCCTGCAGCTATTCGTTATGGGAGAGGTTGCTGTGGAGCTCTTCCAGGAGAGCCCAACAGCGTTCCTCCAAGTAAGTTCTATCCTCGGAAATGTCCATGTGCCCATGGAGCTCCTCTTTCAGGCACCTTCAACAATGCCCCCTTACCTATTGCCCGTTCATACACAGGAGCTACGTAAAAACAAGCTCCCAAAGCTACAATCTGCAAATCGGGACGTACTGCACACCGTCGCGGAGTTACACCTCCCCGTGGAGAGCAGCGCCAACTCGCAGGGGGTGTGTCTGCTGCCAGCGTCAACAGTTGAAACGCTGCTAATCGACAAACGCAGGATGGAGCTCGTACAGCCCTTCAAGCTGGCGCTCTTGAAGCTTGCGTCGCAGGTGCTTACGCTTACTGGCGCGCCAGGGTTAGGGATACGCCGCTCCCTCTCCTGCCCCCTTCCTGGGAGCTGTAGCCCCTGTTCGGGAAGCGACCTCAGGGGTCACCCGACATCACGCATCGCCACAACCCCCTTTCCCCTCCCCTACCTCCGTACCCTCCACCGCACCCAGCACGTGGCTGCCGCCTCAAAACCCACCTGCTCCCCTTGCCATTTTCCCGTCGGGCCCCACGAGCCCACCTTTCCCCCGCCCTTCCCCCCCAAAATGCAGGAAGCTGCGCGCCTCATGGCCGCCGGTGAGTACGAGCTGGCCCTTCCAGTCGCCCTTGATGCCGTACAGCAGGGCCAGGCGCTCTTCAAACCCGCGCCCGCTCTCCAGCTCTTCCCACTGTACCTGCTGGCAGCCCAAGCCAATTTAGGGCTGCGCCGCGCCAAGCAGTGCGAGGATTTCCTAGCTCTGGCGTCTTGGCTGGCTATGAAAGAACCTGGGTTGACCACCAACATTATGAAAAGTCAGCTCAGTCGGCTGTACGGGCAGCTGTACGCGTTTCAGTCAAAGCATGCGGAGGCGCTGCATGCGTTTGCAGAGGACGTGTACTACTGCTCCTTTGAGTACGGGCCCGAGGATGTGCGCACTTCGCTTGGGTACTACAACATGGGCAAGGTGGGTGGGCGAGTGGATGGATGGATGGATGTGTGGGGGGGGGATGGTGGGCCCCACTATCTCCAATCCTTCTTTTGCCATTCTCTCTCCTCCCCGCCCTTCCCGCCCTTATTCCTACCATCGGGTGCTCCCCTTTTTCCTCTCAGCTGCCGTCGGGTGCTCTTACACACACACGTCACCCCCCCTTTCCCTCCCCCTCTGGGCCACCGTGCACAGGTCTTTCAAGCGGCTGGGGAACTGGAAAAGGCCGCATCCTGCAACGACCAAGTCGTGGCCATTTGGGCCGCCACTCTGAACGCAGTAGTCCTAGGGATTACGGAGTCAGGCGGCGCGGGGCGGCCCGCAGGCGCCGCGGGGCTGCCAGTGGGCCGGCTGCAGCTGATGGAAGTTGTGGATATGTTGGCGGATATCACACGCACGCGCGCGGCGGCGATGGGCGCGGGACACGTGACGGTGGGCGAGGGGCACCTGGTGACGGCGTTGGCGTTGATCCAGCTTGAGGAGCGGGCGCGGGCGGAGGAGGAGCTGGAGGCCGCGGCGGCGACGTTTGGGCCGGAGTCCGGGGAGCGGATGCGGTTGGTGGATATGGGGCGCATCATGTTGAAGGCCCTTGGGTGAGGTGTGTGGAGAGGGTGCGGATTGGTTTGCGAGGAGGGCGGGGTTGTGGACGGGGCTGGAGATGCTGTGTATGTGGTGGTGGTGGGTGCACATGCGGTGTGCCATGGCGTGCCTTGGTATGGTCGAGTGGAGTAAGTAGTTGTACTACGTGGGGTAATGCGACGACGGAGGTGACGTACCCGGAGTCTGTGGAGCAGTTTGTGGTGGGGAGGAGGGGTTGTGATTAGCGCTGCTGCTGGTGATGATGGTTGTGGTGATTGTGGGGGCTTTAAAATTGAGGGACCGCTGATCGGTTGTGGTAGCCCCAACCCCCAAGAACCATAGCCCGTAACGACCTGAAGGTGGGTGAGTAAGGGCGACCCTCTGGACGACCTTCCCGCGGACTGGCCGGGATGTTTTGCATTGAGAGGCTGTAGGCCCTCGTATGAGCTGTGGGGTGTGGAGCCTTCCTGGGGCATGCGTTTATGTACGTACGTATGTATTTCTGTGCAAATGCCTGTGGTCAGGTCATGCGCAAAGGTGGGGCCTTGGACCGGGGGCCTGGTAAGGAGGAGGATGTGTACAGGGCCCCCCTGACGATGGGTGTAAAGCGGGAAGGATCATCCAGGGGATGTGTCCTCCTTTTGAATCTGCAGGAGAGTTTGCAACAGAGATGGGGATGTGTCCAGGAAAGGCAGGACGGGTGAGGCAGGACCGTGGCATGATGTGAACTATATACGCTATTCGTTAGCTGGAACCCGCGATGAAAGGGATGAAAGGCATACAGCGGGGTGGGGGCCCGGCAAAACATGTCGCCGACATGTCGAAAGTGGATTTGGCGCCTTGGTATGGTGTCAGGGGCGAAGAATGCGGGTAATGAAGGCTGCCGCCGGCGGCGGTTGGCGGCCGGAAGGTGCTGTCTGGCTGGGCCGACCAGTTTGGGTAGTTTGGCGCTTTTTGCCTTGGCGGCAATGGGCTGTCGGTTAGGTGGTTAGTGGAGTGTTGGCACAGGGGCATTGTCGGTTTCTGACTAGGTTCGGTGTATAATGGAGGAGACTGGTGGTAACACAACGGACCCGAGGCCTCTCAATTGCGCTCTGCTTCCCGCCCTCCAACACGGCACCGTACTGTTTTGTTGGATGTGGAGGAGGTCAAGATCTGTGCTTAAACGTGTTGCTCGCATACACAAAAGGTCCAGCCCAAGCCGGTGATAAACACGCCCCGACACATCCCACTGTGTTAAGCTCCTCCACGGCCATGAAGACGCACGAAAGGGAGCAAAGGATTCGTTCGTTTATACATCAGCCGACGCAGGCGTGTTTCCGCCGGCCCTGCCAGCGCCCAGGGAGTCGCAGTTTCCCTCGCGTGACGGTCCCTGCTGGGGCCCCTGCAGCAGCCTGTGGACCAGGCTGGTGCTGCGCAGCCACATCCCCCTCCGCCTCGGCGGCCTCCCGCTGCCGCTTAGCCCCGGTGCGCTGTCGCCGCTCCGCTTTCACCTTGGGCGCCTCCTGCTCTTTCTTCTGCGGTACACCATGTCGCGGCGCTGCAGTTGTCCGTGTGGTGACATGGTCCGGAGACGTCGTGCTGGCAGGACCAGCCGCCTTGCCTCTACCGCGTCCAGATGCACGACCCCCGGCTTGCCCATGCGCGTGCGCAGCTGCTATTGTTGCTGCTGTTGCTGTTGCGTTACCGTCGTCGTCGTCATCGTCGGTGGTGATGATTGTGGTTGTATTTTTGCTAAGAGCAGGTCCCTTGCGCTGAGCTCCTGTCTGATTTGCGGGTTGCGCTACCGCAGCCGCTTGGCGGTCACCTGCTCCCCCTCTCTTATCGTCTTCCTCCTTCCCCGTGTACAGCTCGTACAGCTTGCCGGGTTCCAAAAACCAGCCAAAAATCTGGGCACCCGCGGGCCCCCGGGGGGTCGCGGGAGAGCGGGAAAAGAGCACATCACCCATCAGAACCTTCACACGCCTCAAAGTCCTTCTCAGGCCGTCGCGCATGACCTTCCCCCCAGAAGCTTCGACACATGCAGTCCACATGCACGGGCAACACAGCACGACACGGCACGGCACGGCACGTATCGCCGTCAGCCCTAGCCCTGTCCACCCTGCCTGCCAACAGCCCTAAAACTCCGCCCTTCGTCCTTCACCTACGAGCTACGAGAGTACCTCCTGTCCTATTTTCCTGCCACCCAGAAGAAAAAGGATTTATGATTGAATTCTAAATGAGGGTTATGAGGGGTTTAGGTTTGAATCTTTTAGATGGTTTAGATTTAAATCAAGGGTCTTACCGAGTAGCGAGGCCGATCGGTGGTCATGGCCGTGACGGCATGGTAGCGCGGGACCCTGAAGGCCACCACGCTGTTCCACAGGGGTACGTACTTGCGGCCCTCACCCGGGGGGGCGGTGGGGTCTTCCAAGTCCACCAGCACACCGCCGTACTCCTCACGCCAGTCGCGAGTAAGGTAGTAGATGACTGCCAGCGTGCGGGAGGTGGTGATGATGCGGCCATTGTCAAGCTTCACCTGCAGGGTATGGAGAAATGGAATGGAAGAAAGTGGCGTGGCTTGGGGAGTAAAGGCCTTAGTAGGGAAATACTGGGAGCTGGAAGGAGATTTAGGGGATTTCGATTTTGAATTTCGGGCTGGGCGGGGCATTGGGGGGGGAAGAAGGGAGTGTGGTGTTGCGTAGGGTTGGGTTTTAAGTCCCAGGCTAGGTGCCGAGGATACTCGTGAAGCATGAGCGTGATTAAGCGGAGAATCTGGACAGGGGAGTGTGTGAGAAACAGTTGGATCCCTACCGGTGTGTAAGCTCGGTCGTCGTGCTGGGCGATGTGGTCCTTCTTGCAGTATTTCGCTGCGGAGAAGGCGTGCAAGCTGCCCGGGCGCACCAGGGAGAAGAGGCGTACCACAGCATCTAAGCCTGATGCATGCTTGACGCTTGAAAAGCTGTGGCTGATGTTGTTATGGCGATAGTCGTTCGATGCAGAGGTGTCGTTCCAATGCTCGTCCGGAACGGCGGCGACAGTTGCCAGGATTCCTTCTGCGACGAACTGTCATCCACCCATAAAGCAAGGGTATTGACAAACGTGCTTCAAAAGCCTTTGTTGTCACCCAGCCGCACCTCCGGCAAGAAGTTTTCTATCCGGACAAGTCCACCATTTGCATCAACGGCACGCTCTACATCCTTGTTAGCTATCCATGAGCTTGCCAACTTATAGTTATTTAACCAGCGCTTATACGCTGCTACTTTGTCTTTACTGCGAACCATAAGAAGTTAAAATCAACTCATCCGGAAGCAAAACATTTGACTTGGCTTGGTTATGATAAAATTAAGCCATCCGACAGTAAAGCAGCTAAAATCGCTTGCCTAGAAATCCAATTCCAGTGGAAAGCTACAGCAAGATGGGTGAGCGACTTGGTCCCGGAGCTAAATGCACTTGGGTTTCGCTTTCTGTTTTCAAGTGCGAGATTATGGAGTAAGCGTAAGCTCACCCTCATGAATTAAGCTCGCGCGCACGACGCGTGGCTTCAACAAGTAGACCAAGAAAGGCGCCTTAGTACGCAACACGGCAACATAGTCATTATCGTACAAAACTTTTACGGTGTAAAGCAGGTTACGCTTCCCTGAACATTAATAGATGCCCTGCATTGCTGCATTTTGTACACAAAAAATAGCTCCTGGCGGCTCCTCAGCCCAAATCCCCAGCTGATGCGCTGGGTTCCTCTTATCGGGATTGCGGTCCCCTCAGCGCACCCTCCTGTTTCCAACATACCAAGCGCCCTGAGGGCAGCTTACGCCACTTCAGCCCTGACAAGCGCGGCCTTCCGGACTTGTTCTCGTGGCTTCAGCATCCGTTCCAACGATCTCCTCTCTGCCGCCGAGCCGCCTCCCGCCTAAAACCACCATAGATATCTACTGGCATTTTTCCTTATCCATGCCCTAGTTCCACACACACACACACACACGGTAGCATAAACAAAAGAGGTGTCAATCACACTGCTCCGTCAGCGTCACCCGCAACCTAAACCCGCCTTCCCGGCGTGCAATCCAGTGCGCGGTAAAAACATGTACAGCATGCTTCGAAGCCTCGTACAATGCGCCCTTTAAGCGCGAAGGAAAAAGCTCCACGCAGCAACAGACCTACGAGAAGTGCTAGCTCTTTTTCCTCTCAAAAATCACGCACGTATGCACCGGCAACCGTACTGCCTCCCGCAGCACCACACACTCAAGGCCTGCCACCTCACTCGCCTTCCCTGACTAAAACTAGCCCACTGACGAACCCGTACTGCCTCCCAACACAACACTGTCCCCAGCGATTACCAATATACTCACATCACACACCGCACCACGCCCGGTATCAGACCACCACCACCACCACCACCGCCACCAGCAAAGCAAAGGAACCACTTCACCGCTATAAATACATATAACCACCGGAAAAGACCCGCAGCTGGAATCAAGCGGGTGCCTTTAACCGCCAACGACCATAACTGCCAACGACCATAACTGCCGGCCATAACTGCTCATAGGACTCACATTGTGCCATAACCCCCTTACCACTTACCACCGACACTACCACCCACCCTCACCGCTGCCTGCACCAACATAACACCTGAGCGGCCGCCCATCCCTCCAAAACCCCTAGACAACCCTGATTGAATTCAACAAGCAAAGCACTTGTTCATCGTCGCGGCTGCATGCCGCGTGAGCCGTGAGATATGGTAGGTAGGTCATGTGCTAGGCCGCCGAGTGCTGTAACGCCCGCGGCCCGAGAAAGCCGCCCCACATGCCCTGTCTGGCTCTTCGCTGCTGCTGCTCCTGCATGGCCGTTTCTAATCGCTCTACCCGGTGTAGCAGCTGCCCGATGAGATCCTGCTGCTCCTGGTTCTCCAGTAGGAGCCGCTGCCGCCGTGGCCATACGTAGTGGGAGTTGAGGTGAGAGGGAGGTGAGAGGGAGGTGTTGTCGGGATTCAAGGGGGGCCCATGTTATGTGCGTTGGCGCGAGTGGTTTAGAGAGGTTTACAAGCTCCGAATGCAAATGCGGGGATGTGCCCGTCAAAGCTCGGGGGCCACATGGACGATATGTGTGTTAGTAGTGGTGCTGCCAGGACGTTGGGGAGGGAATTTCGTCAAGGAGAGGGATGTGGGTCAGAGATTAGTAGTGATGAGCGATGAGGGTCTAAATTCCCTATTTCCTTAATTCATTTTTTAAAAAAAGCCAAAACTCTGGTGCGTGAGTAATTTTTTGTTCCACTGGTTCGTTGCAAAATTCCGCGATGATGCGATGAATCGGCGCGAAACGACGACCTCCACTCCTACACCTCCTCTGTGCTGCCGCGGATAGAACCTTTACACCCATTCCGGCGCGTAAAAAATATTGTGACGGCGCCTCGCCTTCCCTCGCCTCGCCTTCCCTCGCCTTCCCTCGCCTCATCCCGTGCCATCAGAGCAGAATAACAAAAGCCGCTCCCGCCGCGTCCCCCCAACCCCCATCCGTACCTCCCGTTCGCGTTTGGCTTGGTCAAGTATTGCCTGGCGCTCCTGTTCCTCCTTTTTCTTCTTCTCGATTTCTTTTCTTCTCGTCCTGTCGTACTCGAATGTCACAATGAGTATACCCACCTGGTGGCATCGCCGGGCCCCATCAGCCGAGGGTTTGGTCACACAGGTCACACAGCCGAGGACCCAGTTTGGCCGATATGCATGCTAGAAGGACGGCAACAAACGGACCCGCACGCATTCAAAGGGGATTCAGACGCACCCTGAAAATGAACGACCACACACAGAAAGCAGCGCCCCCTGCGCGACCACCACCACCACCACCACCACGGACAAACCAACCCCCCTTCACCACCACGTCTGGCTCTGGCAGCGCAAACCACACCACTACAACCAGCACACGCACTGTATTTTTTCGCATCGTGCATCTGCAGTCCGCGGCACGTGGACCCTAATGTCACTCAGACGACAGTGCCTTGGGACTTCGGGCACTTCCCTAATCCATTCATACTGCGCATTTATCTAAACTGTATCGATAGCATAACCCGTCCGCTCGCCCTTACAACGAAGGATGGCACATAATCTAATCCACCGCATGTTCGGTTATGATCACCGGCGTACCATCCATCCAGCCAGCCAGCCAGCCAACCAGCCACCAGTCCACACACACGTTCCCTATCTCCCATCTACCCACTCACCGCGAACACAAAGCCCTCACTGGCAATCTTGGACGCCAGCTCCACCGACTTCTCCTCCGTCATGGCGCCGACAAACGCCTTGCCCGACTTGCCCTCAGCGCCGCGCGTGATGTACACCTCCCAGCGGTGCACTACCTGTTGTTGTCGCCCCCGCCCGCCAGAAGCGGGGAAACAATAACAGCAAGAACAAGCGACTGACCGACCGGAAAGGAAGTCCTAAAAGCGCGAACCGCGTTTCAGGTCGGTGTGATCCTTTTTCAAACATGCCACAATCCTTCAGGATGCGCTCTTCGCGCTCCTTTCCTTCACACAAGTGTTTGGTGAAATGGTTGTCTAGTGGGGCAATTGGATTGCAGCTGGTTCCAAACCCAAACCCAAAGCAAATCAACTAATTCAGTTGTTGTAGGAGTCTCAGGCGGACGAGTGCAGTGCGATGAGTAAACCCATTATGAGGTAACAAAATTATGAGTTATCGTCCAATCCACCCCCATGTATCAAAACCCAAAAAAGATACATCGGAAAATCAACACCCTGAGACTTCGTGCCGCAGACCATACCAGCCAGGGGCAGAGACCCCAGATTACCCCACGCCGACGGTGTACACACGACACGGCAAGGGCTGTGGAGCCGCGGGCCGGCGACCGGGGGGTTTGGCTCGAGGGGTTTGGTTCCTCACTGCCAGCTGCCCCTTAACCATAAAACTCATGCGGGGCGTGTAGCTATATCACATGGGCCTGGGTAGGCTAGGCTAGGCAGCAGTCCTGGGGCCATGGCTCCTAGGGGCTCTGCGTACCTGTGCTGCCGAGATGACGTAGCGCCGGGCCACGGGGTGGTTCATGGCCCACTTCTCGAAGCGGCTGCCTAGCGGCTTTGCCATCTGCACGGAGAGTCGTGAGCAACAGGAACGGGCCCCTGCTGCTTAGCTGGCGCAAGTTGTGGCGGATAAGGGGCAGGTGACGCTGGTCGTGAAGTTCGGGTGGCGAGCGGATAGATGGGTTCTGATGAGGGACTTTGAAATCAGGCATTGGAATTCGCGCTCGGGATGAAGTGTGTCGGCAGGAGGGCGTGGGCATCCGACTTAACCAGCCGGGGTGAAAGCTCACGTGCACCGGCAGAATGCAGCATGCCGCTAATTCTTGGCAGGTTGATCCAGCCACTTAAGTGAAAACCCACTTCGGAGTGTCGTCTGGGGACTTCTGCCAATGTTTCAAACCTATGATACATGGTTGCAGACCCCTGATGTGTCATCGCCATGGCCATGGTTTCAGTCCAACGCACCTGCTTAAGTAGCAGCGCTCCCATTTTGAAGACAAGAGCCGCCATGGTGCTTGACTACCTGTGTTGAGCCGTAAAGCGTATGCGGAGGCCTGCTCCTAACCTGCCGACTGACGGGAGAGGCGATGGCTACCAGGGCCGAGACCCTGGGCCTCCCTTGCTCACTTTCAGCGAATTATGTGTCACAATTAATGAAAGTGTCACTCCTCTAGCAATTTCAAAACCAGCAAGGAACTAACATTAAACCAAGCACCTCTCCTACGAGCACGTGTTGGCTTCCTCTAACTTTAGGTTAGATTATTAGCTGATCATATCTATGATATGCAAGCTCAGATTGTTCTGATCGGGCCACAAGTAGTTTCCGAAGCGGTTGTCGTGCAAAAGGACGATAGTCTTTTTCGAACTTGGCTGGCTGCGGCCGGTGCCCCGACGGCGCATACAACATTTACTAAGATATTACTGCAATATGTCACGCCTTCGTTAGCACGTTCCTTACAGACCAGGAGGACGGCGGACTCAAACCAATAGTGGCCATGCAGAAAGCTGGAGCTGCGAACAAGGGCCCACCGGCTGAATATGTAAGCTCATCTCAATCAGACGCCATCCAGTCTTTGCCCACGCGCTGACGTGTCCACGGTTGGCGCACAGGTGGAGGACACTTCGGAACCGGAGCCGGAGCCCAAGCCCGTGGATCGCGTACGGACAGCTTCCTCTGCGCTATGCGCAATTTTGCGCTGCTTACGCGGCCAAGGCTTAACCAACCGTCACGGTTTCAATCGTCGCGCAGAAGGCGAAGCTCCGCTCCTTCCGTGTTCGAACGGTCTCTACTGTGGCGTTAATCGGCACGTTCATCGGAATTATATGGTCAGGTCATGTGCCGCTTATGTTCTTCATCCTGCTCCTGCAGGCGAGTTCCCTGGATTTCGTGGGGCAGCGGGCATGCAGTGCAAGGGTGCGCCACAGCCCTACCCAGGCCGGACCCGACATCTTACAGCCCAGGAACTGTGGCGATAGTCCACCCCAAGCCAGTCTTTATGACTCGTCACCCAGCTTTACAGATAAATTCCCTGGCGCTGCATGGCGGCCGGTACTGCCCTAGCCACTCCTAGCGCTTAGGGCCGGGGCCAGGCCGTCAGTCCCAGCTGCGGCCCTCAGCCGAATCCACTGCTAAATTAATGCGGATGCTGGGAATCTCTCTGTGTATGTATGTGTCTATTTGTGTTTCTATCTGCATGTATGTATGTATGTGCAGTTCTTGGTCGCCCGGGAGCTGTTCCGCATTGCGTATGTGGCGCAGCGCTCCAAACGTAGCCTTCCACTTCTGCGCACGCAACAGTGGTACTTCTTCTTCACGGCCGTCTTCTGGTTATATCTGAGGTGAGCGGCTTGCTGCCTGGCCGGGTGGTGGATGAGGTTGTGGATGGATGAGGGGGCGGATGAAGGGGTGGGTGGATGGGTGCGTAGGTGTGGCAGAATGGATTGTTGGTTACTACCTGTCGGACTGGATGGGTTTGGCTGGCTGACCTGTGCTGACCTGCGCTGTTTCTTTGTGGGAGGTCTTGAAACGTTTTCCCTCGTACGTGCGCACCATCTAACTGCATGAAAAAGGGGGACTGTGTTTGTGTGTTCTTGTGTATGGTGGCTCGAGACACGTGGCCATGGTTGACTGGGCATGGTTGAAAAAAATGAGGTATCAGATGAAATGCATGAAAGTGAGATGCATGTATCGGAATTTGGTGGCGCAGGTTCATCAAGAACAATCTTCTGGTGGAGGTTACTTCGGACAAGACGTTGGCGCGGTTGTTCTACTGGGCGCTGAAGCACCACAGCCTCATTTGCTATTCGCTGTACATGGCAGGTGGGTGGCCGCCTGCTCCGGCGTTGCTGGGGAGAGGAGCATGGTTGGGGCTCGGGGGAAGGTGAATGTCGTACACTCCACGAGGGGAACGTCGTACTCTGTAATAATCCTGACGAAGGCAGAAATGAGGCCTTGGGGACGAGGCTTCTGGGAGTGCTTTCTAGGACGTAGGCAGGGCGGAGGTTGGGCTTGGGTTTAATGGATTGTGTGTGTGTGGGGGG